TCTGGAGATTTCTCTTTCAAAAGATTAGCTCGTGGGCTCTGTGTTCAAGAAAAGAAGCGTGCGGTCTGTGCTTTGGAACCGTGCCTTTCCTTGTGGACGTGTGTGCTTATTCTATGAAGAACCAGGAGGAGGAGCACACCGCTGTGCGCTTAGGCTGCAGCTTGTGCTTCCCTGGGCCTTTTGCTGAACCGGAGGTTTGAAAAGACACTCCTCATTTCTGTCACCTCCAAAACGTTAATGATGCTTTTCCTCTGGCTGAGGTAAGGGAAGGTGGTCTTGAGGGAGCCACAAGCCAGCTAGCTTCCACCAGGTGAGCCAAGATGTGGCTTCCGGACAGGCCTGAGGAGAGGAGCTGTAGAACTCCCAGGAGGAAGACAGCCTTTGAAAATGTGTCTGCCACCATACTTGAGAGCATGAGGGTGGATGTAGTTTTTGGCCAATGCTTCATAACTTTGAGTTTTCCAGATAAATCCAAGAAAAACTGGATTGTTGGCCTACGACTCCATGGTGACTCATGGACAGCAGCTGACATGAAAAAAAAAAAAAATAGGCCAATTGTGTGCTGTGCAGATCTTTCTTTTTTTTATTTTTATTTTTTATTTTTTATTTTTTTTGAGACAGGGTTTCTCTGTGTAGCCTTGGCTATCCTGGACTTGCTTTGTAGACCAGGCTGGCCTCCATCTCACAGAGATATACCTGCCTCTGCCTCCCCTAGTGCTGGGATTACAGGCATGCACCACCATGCCCGGCTAACTGTGCAGATCTTAAGTGGCACTGGGGCAAAATTAGTTAGAAAGGAAAACTGGAGCTGAGCCCTTCTTCAAGAGAAGTGTCACAGGCTCTGAAACTGCTCTGAAACTGCAGCTGAAGGATATGGAAGGCAGGTACTTCACCTGCAAAGGATCATGGCCTTGAATCATGGCCACACTGTGGTATATGGCTTGTAAGTCATCAGCACACCTAGAGGGTTCAGAAAGACATTCACAGACTTAACCTCCACTGGGTCCCCATGGACTAGACAAATAACAGAGCCCCCAGGTCGGAGCTGATGTGGAGCACCTCTTCTCCGTCCGGAGGCGCTGCATTGAGGAGTCAATAGTGACTGACAGACTCAGGTGCCCTCTCACATGGGTGAGCAGCCCCCTTGCAGGGGGTAGTGGTCAACTGGGCACACTCCTCTGGAAACCTCCTGTCTTGCCTTCTGCTCCTTTCTCCCACAGAACCCTGGCTGCGGTGGGCTCCATTGCCTTCCTCTCAACTGTCCGCTGCTTACAGTGTTTGAACTGTGCCTTCTCTTTGCTCTTGACTCTTCTTTCTTTTAAACATTTGGGTGACATTTTCTTGTTAGACATTATGGACACCATAAAATGGTGATTTTACATAATTTGGGCAAATACCTTTCCCAATTGTCATATTTGGATTAAGAAGCCCATCGAAGCTGCTTCCAGAGAGAACCTATTTTCTAATTTACTTGGTGAGATGTTTTTTAAAAACTTTCCATTAGTATGACACTGGTTTATAAACAGCTTCCTCAGAAAGACACACATGGTATATACTCACTTATAAGTGGATATTAGACATACAATATAGGATAAACATACTAAAATCTGTATACCTAAAGAAGCTAAGCAAGAAGGAGGACTCTGGGTAAGATGATCAATCCTCATTCAGAAAGGCAAATAGGATGGACATCGGAAGAGGGAGAAAACAGGGAACAGGACAGGAGCTTACCACAGAGGGACTCTGAAAGACTCGATCCAGCAGGGTGTCGAAGCAGATACTGAGACTCATAGCCAAACTTTGGGCAAAGTGCAGGGAATCTAATAAAAGAAGGGGGAGATTGAAAGACCTGGAAGGCACAGGAGCTCTACAAGCAGAGCAACAGAACCAAGATATCTGGGCACAGGGGTCTCTTCTGAGACTGATACTCCAACCAAGGACCATGCATGGAGATAACATAGAACCCCTGCACAGATGTAGCCCATGGCAGCTCAGTGTCCAAGTGAGTTCCCTAAAAATGGAAACAGGTCATCATGTCCCTGACATGAACTCAGTGGCTGACTCTTTGGTCACCTCGTCCCTTTAAGGGGGGAGCAGCCTTACCAGGCTACAGAGTAAGACTATGAAAGACAGTCCTGATGAGACCTGATAGGCTAGGGTCAGAGAGAAGGGGAGGAGGACCTCCCCTATCAGTGGACTGGGGGAGGGACATGAGAGGAGGAGAGGAAGGGAGGGTTGCATTGGGAGGGGAGGAGGGAAGGGTCTACAGCTGGGATACAAAGTAAATAAATTGTAATTAATTAAAAAAAAAACAAAAAAAACAAAACCAGCTTCCTAAAGCTAGTAGAGAGAAGGCCTGTGCACTCCTGAGTCCAGAGCTGACCACCCTCCTTCACAGAACCTTTCATCACTCCCTGGCTCTTTTTATTAAACATCTCTGTTAGCAGCTAGCCTTTAAAAGATCAACAGTGCACTTTTCTTGAACACACACACCCCTGACTCTACATAGACATTTTGCAGTCTGTGACAACACTTAAGTAGCCATCGCATAAACAGACTTGAGCTCTGCTATTGCTAGGAAGGGCCCTCTCCTCAAATGTCAGCCAGCTAATGGCCACGTGAGGAAGTTCAGCTGCTAAGCTCGGGAAGCCCCGGTGCGCACGGAAGCTCCTCCCTTTCTGGAGAAGGCATGAGGACATATCCAGAGTTGTCACCAGGCTGTCTACTTGGACGAGCCCATATGCTGCACCAACTCGGCCTGTCAGACTTCTGACTCCACATAGAGACTGCAGGGCTGGCAAGAGGCCGTTTTAAGTTGGCCTGCAGTGATCAGGACGGCATCAAAGGTAACCTTAAGTGGAGTAGCTTCTCTTTGCTCTTTTCCTAGTCAGAAAGGTCATTTCTAAGTCAGCCATGTCCAACAAGACCTCTCCTGGGGCATTTACTCTTTGTTATTTTTCACTTGTGATTACAATAAGTCATTTATCCCCAAACAGATTTAAGAACAATAAACAAATACAAAAGGGAAAGGAACATCTCATCAATAACAAAGGCTGTGTCTGAAGCACTGAGTTTTGGGCTCTTTTACATCTCTTTCCAAGCAAAGCAGGGGCCCTACAGAGAAAGGAATTCAGGAGATATAAAAGTTATAAAAATAGTACGGGACCCAGCTTTTGTCAGGATCTGGCCCTCTCTGAGGGGAAATGGTGCTGAGGAGAGTCTTAAGCACTTTGTTCTCATTGAGGCTTATTTGTGAGATCGCTGAGTTAGTGCTTCTTAAGCCTATTTGCTTAAAAGCTAATGGTGAAAAGCTGTCAGATAGTATTCTCAATATATACCTCCCCCAAATTCAAGGTTCACATTTTGAAGTTAAAGAAAACCAGGGGGGAGAATAGATCTGAATGCTACATTGAAAGCTAATCCCAGGGTGGAACGCCAGCTGGTCACATGGCAGTGCCACCCCAGGTGATGCCAGCTAGGAGGGGAACCTGCCTGTTCCACGCACGCCTCTAGTGGGGCTGGAGTCCCCTTTCCAAGGACACAGGGCACAGATACTAAAACTGTGCAATTTGGCCCAATTATGCCCCTCTCCCCAAGGATTTAATGAGGGACTTGGAAATACAATTCATGGGTGATAAGTAGTCCCTCAGCCCGGAATGTTTGTTAGACTGACAGCAGCATGCTTTTCCCTTGCCACTTATGACTCAGATGAATTTTAATAGGAGCAAAAAGCTTTTATTTGTGCTGTAATTTCACTTAAGAATCATATCCTTCAGAAACTGGCAGACACTTCTATGTCTTGATTGCAAAACACACACTCAGGAGTAAAGAAACATGCAGAAGATGTTATTATTCAACCTGTCACAGTGTCGCAAATCTGCTTGGAACCTCGGCTATCAAAGCTCTTCTGTGGGGCCTCCCCCTACCCGCTTTAAATAGGCCCTGTGAAGAGGCACTTGGAGATTGCTGCTGTCCCTATGCAGAATCAAAGTGGGAATCTGACTCTGCCTTAGCCTCCCTGCCAGCACGATGCCCACAGGAGGCTTTGAGTTACAGCAGCTTTCCTCTAACAGAAGGGAGCTGCCCAGTGGGCAGTTTCTCTCTTCCCCGGAGAGACTGGATCTGGTGGGAACCAGGAATCCGGCGCTGGCTCCAATACCTCAAAGCATTTTATTTTCTGTTTAGATAGAGCAAATTGTGGTTCATATATTGATCCATGTTTATCTGGGATGTTTCCTGTCCAGTAAGAAATGTCTTTATTAAAAATCTTATGATTGACTGGACTCATTGGCCCTCCACCTTTGCCAGCCACCTACGAAGATGCCATGAAAACTGATGTGCCTGGCATTTTCTATATTTTACAAATCTGGATACTATCATGTCTCAGACCAAAAGATATTCTCATATCTGTCTTTCTCCTGGCTCTCTGGTCATATCAGAAAAGGCTACACAATAATGTACCTAAATAGAAAAAAAAAATTTTTTTTTGATGTGAATGTAACATTTTATTTTACTGAGAAATATATGAATATAAAAGCCTTTTTTTTTTTTTTTTTTTTTTCTCAAAATGAACAGTGAAGCCTTTGTCTCACTGTATGGGCTCCCCAGTTGGAAGTGCTCTGGCGTCTGGGCAGTCTGTGATGGCCGTCTGCTGCCATCTACTGGTGTGCATGCAGTGTCACGGCCTTTATCCCTGAGCCTGGTGGACTCCGGGATTTGAGCCCTCTGTCTTGCAGCAGCCGCAGGCAGTGGAGTGAGTGTCCTTCAAGCAAAATCCTTTGTATTTCCTTTACAAAGTTCTGATATGGTTTTCATAAAGGTCCATGATACTTTTTATCTACCACTAATTAATAACTAGAGCCATTCCTTTAAAAAGCCTGGCTCAGTATGCTCTAGATATGAGTAATGCTGTGTGCAGGGTTTTAAGATACTGATCTTGAAGATATTATTGTAATTTTAACTTAAAGCTAGAACCAGATTTTGAATAGGTGCTATTTTAGAATATAACTTCATCATTTAACTCCTTTCTGCTTTTCTCTTTCAAGTACAAAGTGCACATTTTAACCAAACTTGCAGCAGAACTGAACAAATTCATGCTTGAAAAAGTGACTGAGGACACAAGCAGCATTCTGCGCTCCCCAATGCCCGGAGTGGTGGTGGCTGTCTCTGTCAAGCCTGGAGACATGGTAAGAGCCTTTCTGTCTGGGGGACATGCTGGGCTCAGACTCCCCTACAGAACACTGGCAGCGGCAGGCCCATGCCCTCTGCAGCCTCTCCTAACCCGGGGGAGCCCTTGGAAGAGAAAGCTGCATGCTCACCCTATCTACCGGCTTCATAGCTGAGTTGTGTTGGTGACAGCACATCCTCCCAAGTGGGGGTGGGGAAGGAACAGAAACAAGGACAGATTTTCTCTTCTTTCTCAAATTTCTAATTTTTCTAAAAAAGAAAAAAAAAAAACACCCTCAAATTTCTAAAATTTGCAGAGACATTTACTTCACATTACTTCTCAGTTCCCAGCCCTCTGGATATGAAGCATCTTTGAGGAATTTATGCCAGGAAATAGCCATGGCAGGGATCTTGGATGCAGGAACCCTGAACTAAACGTCTAACTGGGAAGGAGAGTTAGGAAACTTTAACGCTATAATCTGTACAATACCATTGCACTCTTGTAAGGTAGAAAAGGGAGTTCAGAGTCATAACTGGAGGCTTCGTTCTTGACTTTTTAATAGTAAAGCTATTTTATCCTTGTCTGCTCAGCCTCGTAACTTGCTGTGGACAAATGTGCACGTTTTCTTTAAAAAAAAAATCAGCCATTTAGCAGGAAAAAATGGTTTAAGACACAGCTGGGAGATATGCCGGGGCCCTTACATAGCCGTGCTTTTACATACATGCAGGAAAATAGCAGCCACTGAGAGTACACTCTCCTGGGCTGTGTACCAATTCTGTCGCATATCTGAGTGAAAGCCATTGGGTTACCTAATCAGCTGTAATGACTGCTAAGACAGCGCCTCACTTCTTCATTAGTACAGATAGAGCATCATGTTAGCGTTAGCATGGAGGTGATGCTGGCTTCTAGAAAGATACAGAGGAAAAGCAATCAAGGTTGGTTGTTTTAAATGATCAGTCCCCAGATTAACATGAAACTGGGAAACTGGCTTAAAGATGGCTTCCCCTGGTGATGCAGGAGAGCTACCAGCTTTTGTAGAAAACCACAAAGGGCCAGGCAGCCCTAACTGGCTGATTCACTTCAAAGGAGTGCTGCTGATACCTGATACCAGCCTCCAGAGGTGGGAGAGGTGAGGACTCAGAGGCCGAGGGCTGCGCTCTGGAGGACTGAGGTTGGACATGGGCTCTTCCTTGGTCTTGCCATTAGCAATCACCAATTCACACACTGTATTCTCTGAGTGCTCAGTGAAATCTTCTGTCTAATGTGCGTGTTAGTGAACTGTGAAAGGTTTGTTTGTTTTTGCGTTTGGTTCCCTCTACCCTGCGGGGTTTTCTTTCTTTGTTTTTTTATTTGTTTGTTTTGTTTTGTGTTCCTGGAAGCCACCCAGTCTATATACTGCCAGCCTGAGCTTCTCAGTCCTAATTGTGTGGCTTTAATTCGAAAATCATATTTGTGCTCCTTCACCCTCATAAGAAGTATTTACCTTCAGTCCTAGTTTTCTGACACCTGAGTCCAAGATGGGGAGAGAGAGAAGGGGTCAGCCTCTTGTCTTGGAGGCTGCTGTCCCCATTTGCCCACCTACGGCTGCTTAGCTAACAGAAAGTGGAGAGATAGCAAGCGAGCAGCCTTCTCCTCTTCCCTGTACAGTCTCCTGCATCTGTTGCCCTGACTGCTTTCCTTTCTGTGGTCGGCAAGTTTACTTGGGAAAGCCAGGCAATTAGCAAGAGGGAAGAGTCTGAACCCACGGGCAGCTCTCAGCTCCCAAGTGCCCACCACTTCAGTGCTGCTCCTGGAGGACTGGGCTGAACAAGGGCTGCAGACGGCACACCTTGTGTGTGCCCCTCAGCCAGAGCTCCAAGGCTTCACCCTCATCTTCCTTATAAACACCGTGTCCACACGTGGCTGGCTGGTCAGGTGGAACATACACCTCTTTATCCCTTGAAGAACTTACTTTCATGATCTGTACCATTGGGATGTGATAAAACAGTGTTTTCTCTTGAGTTACTATCTGCGGACATTGTCCTGAGCCATAAATACTGACGCTAGACACAGGCTGAGGAGTGTGCCAGCTCCTCTCAGAATCTCTGGCTGAACTCTTGGTTACCAGGACCTCTCCTTGGTCTCAGGTAGAGTTGACTGAAGCTGGGGGAGAAAACGCTGCAGGCACCGCAGCTCTGCAGGCGACTGCAGGCAGGTTGGACAGTAAGAGCGAAGCCCCACCCACCTCACCCGTGGCAGGAAGATGAAAAGCAATCATTTCTGTGTGTCTTTAGGAAAAACAACTAAGGCACACTTGTTTTTCTTTGCAGTTCCGTTCACAGTTTAAATTCCCATAACCTGGAGTTTCATACTGACCCTTTAATAAGACTCGGTAACAGAATGGTGGGTCTCTTTTGCATATGTGTTACATAAAATTCAAAGTAATAAACCTCAGCTACTTTTTTAAAAACTTAACAATTTGAAGAGTATTTTAAAACCTGAGAAAAAGAATTTGGGTGGCTATGGAGAAGAGTTAAATGCCTCCACAGGGCTTGCTTAGGAAGGTCTTGCTCTTAGTACTGGGGTTGAAGTGTTTCGTTCAAAATAAAAGAAGTATTTATTCAAAATTCTCCTTTAGGATTCGCACGGCAGGAGCTCCCAATGCTTCCACCTATTAGTTAACATTGGATGAAGCAGCCAGTCACTTTCTAGAAGGCGGCAGAGTGAGGTCTTCACTGTATGTGGAAGGGATCTTAGAATACTGGAAGTTGCAAACAAACCACAAATTTAATTCAGGAGACAATTGATAGAACAGTTGTCCTAAGCCCTTTCTATTTGCCTTCTGGGAATATTTTTACAGTGATCATTTCCATTTGAACACACGCCCATCTTTCTACTGGTACAAAGCCTAGCACACACTGCTGCACCTCCTTCACAGTGTTATTAGGACTTGAGTCTTTAAAAACTTTCATCTTTAACAAAAGTATTTAAAACAAATTCCCTGAGCATGTTGGTTGCTACATGTCTGCTGCGGGTTAACATGAGACTAAGTTCATACATTTGCTGCAAGATTTTTTCCCTTTGTCTTTAAAAAATAAAGATGTTATGAGCATATTTGTTTCCTTAACCTTTTGATATTAGACACAAAGCAATAAAAGCTAATAAAAAAGAGCCAACCCAAGATAAAACTGTTTTGATTTTTTTTTTTTTACATTGCTTTCAGCTAAGGTTCTTTCAAGCAGTGTTCAGTTCAGATTATAGGTTCGTCTAAAATTTGCATCAGAAAGAACTCCCCTTACTGATCCAGAAAATTAGGGAGATACAACTAGAAGACCTTCCATCTCTGTCTTATGAGTAAGTGCTCATTGCTGCTTTCATTGCTGTTTCCTTCCCCTTCAACCTTCACACTTAGGAGTCAGCTAATTCTTGCAGCCCTGAGATGAGGCCACTCCACCTGGTCCCTAGACTGGCATTTAGCAAAAGGAGAGTTGGGTCTTTGGATTGCTGCTTTTATTTCTGCCTAAGGCACTGTCCAAGAAAGCAGCAATAATAATTCCACCAGGTCCCACCACTGTCTTCTGTTCCTCATATGTGGTTCTCTGGGGGAGGGCTCCCCGACAGTGAGTGACCGAGGACCAAAAGGCAAAGGAGCCAGGTGCCCTGCTGTGGAGCTTCAGTTGGATGGAGCCTCCTGTTGTCCCAAAGGTCATGTGGCTGAGCCTACAGCCAATCTTGGGGAAGAAGCACATGAACTTGGCAGGAGACTTGTTTTTCACGGCTCTAAGAGCCTGCTTGGAGAACTACAAGGCATTGAGGCATTCTTCAGGAGAAGGGTTAGGTCGGGCCTCTAGATAACTGTGCGATGCCCCTTGCATCCCAGCATTCAATACTGACTCTCTTTCTGGCAGAGGAGCCAGGCTGGCTGTTAGATAGTTTCAGTTTGTGGATGCCCTGATATACAATCAGAAAATGATGGCAATAGTTAATCAACATACTTTATAGCAGTGGTTGTTTAAGCAGTTTGAGGAGAAGCCAGTTTTGCACCCAAACTGCAGACTGTACTCCCCAGCACAGATACACCGTCACTCACTCAGAAACACTTTCAAGCCTCTAAATCATGAATCATATAGAAAGTTTGGAGAATCAGCTCCCAGGCACCTGCATGTTCTTCTTACCTTAGCCACATTTGCTTCAGATTTTACTAGTAATAAAACATTTATGCCATGAAGTAGCACTGTGACCCTCTCATCTTCTTGCCTGGGCTTTCAATTATTTTTCCAGGTAACATTTATTTTGAAATGTTTAAGAATAGCTTTTGTTGTGGCTAACATTTGGGTTTTTATTATTTTTATAATATTTAATGTAGTGCAAAAAATTATCAGCATAAGATAAAAATGTTTGGAGGGTTGGTCTGTATAAAAGTCTTGTGCAGGCTTTACAGTGGGTTTATTTTTCAAGGAATGGTGTTCTTGGGATGAAAGAGCCTATTATCTTTATAGTTGACCATTTTCAACCTTACCAAGATTCAAAATACCTTTTCTCTTTTGACTGTGTGTGTATATATATGTCATTGAGTCCTTTAAAACAACCTACTGAATTCACAAGGTAGCACATCAGAATGACCTCTTGCGGGGGCTCTAAAATATGCCAGTTTCAACTTTTCCCACCTATAGGCGTTGGCTGATAGTGTGAGCCTAGTTAGAGGGCAGCAGGGAGTCATGTTTTCCTTCATTTTAAGGAATTTCTACAAAACCTGGACTTCATTTACATTGGCCATGATCTGGTTCCTTTCTGAGCCCCCCTAATTCCCATTGCACCATCTTAGGAGCTCTGAGGGCAGAGCCGAGTGCAACACCATGCAGACAGCATGGCTTGAGCCCCAAAGCCCTCAGGCATGCTAGCCAGGTGGTCTCCCCTCTCTGTCACCCTCCAGATGAGTGTGCTGGGAAGGACTGCTCCAGATGAGGGGTCAGCAGCTCTGTCCACTGCCTGTCCTCTTTGTAATTTGACACCAGTCCCATCCTTGCTCAGATAGGGCAG